GATAATTCGACCGGAATTCTATGGCTGTAGAATACTAGCTTGTAGTGCCACCGCTAAAAATGTGGTCATTATCATAACTGCGTCACTGGGAAAAGAATGAACTTTGTTTCCCACGAAAATTGTTTCATTAGCAGTACACTGAATCATACACATGCAATTGCTGTAATTGTTGTTTTACATTTTTAGTTTTTACAAAAAAATATTCTTCTGCTAATAAACTTGTATCTTTATTTTAAGAAATTTACGTCACGAGCAACTCCAATTTTACAAAAATTTACGAATAGTTCATATTAAATGCCAATAGATGGCGGGGTATGTCTCTTCATTTTCTCAGACACAAAACAAACAAAGATCAGACTGCCAAGTGTTTTTAGAGGCTTCTCGCCTGTATATATCATTAATGAGATTATGGGCTATTACGAATGTCCTTCTTAAACCAATTTGTCCTCTATTGTGTTTGAAGCACAGGAACGAATTTTACCTCGCCAACTCATTAGTACTCAGTTTCAAAGAAATGAACGTTTGTAGACAAATATATGTAATCCCGATGCGAAAAGCAGGGGTTCTGGTAAGTCAATGACCTTGTTCTTGTCTGTCGATTTGCAACGGACGATCTTCTAGAATATTCACATACCTCTGTTAAACAGTTTCAACCTTGGAACTAAGTACGCAGAAACCTAACCTGTTTGATACGTCAATGCAATTTACTTTTTCTTTTGTGGATCAAAATTTTCAAGTTTACAAATCAAGTCCCAAGTCTGACAAGTCTTCTAAATAAAATGGCACTAATTAAATTAACATTAAAATACAGGTAGCACTCGATTTACGCCGGGGATACGTTCCTGGACGAACCGGCGTAAATTGAAACTCTTTTATAATGTAATGCGTTCCCAGCACCCAAACATTGACGATATTTACATTTTGTGTTACGTAATGTGAAACAGTCAGACAATCGATTAGAAATTGAACTATGTTTTAATATTGATACAGAGAAACATTAAAATCTCTGTCTTAATGTATAAATTCTGTTTTGTTCACGTTAAAGGTTTTCAAAGTGTACAGATTACGACCACTTACAAACTAACTAACAAACTTACTTTACAGTTCAGAGACCTTTAGAAACTAACTGTACATTTAGCTAGTCAAGCAATTCCCTGGCATTTATGAAACGCGAAGATCCATTTCTGTGTTCACAAGAGGTCGCCACCAGTCCCTATCGTGATCCAGATAAATCCAATCCACACCAGAACCGTATTTACCTGAGATTCATTTTAATATTATCCTATAATTTACGCATATATATTGTGAGTGATGTCTTATATCCAGGTTTGCGAACCAAGGTTTTGTATAACTTTATAACGTTAATGATATCTGATAAAGAGTATAAGCTCATTTCGTAATTTTCTCCATTTTACTTTCATTTCGTCCAAATGTTTTTCGAAGCACCCTGTTTTGAAACATTCTTTATCTCTGTTATTCTTTTAGAGTAAAGTTAAAATTTCACATCCTTTTAAAATAAAGTAATTTTTTTATTTGTTTTGTATCTTTCAACATTAGAATTTTATGTAGCAGACGGGAAGAGTACAGATTACAACAAGAATAAATAGATTCTCTCCTTTGATTCAGTGTATTACAGGGTTACGAATCAAGACACAATGAACATTTGTTATATATTTATACCACCGCGTTTAGCAGCATAACTGTCACTGAAATGTCATCATAAATTTTCAATAAACACGTAAAGATGATCTAACATAATCCCTACTTACTAAAGAGGTCATGTTATATTAAAGTTTCAATTAATTATTCGATTTTGTCCGTCTAATCACAATTATATTTAAAATTTACAAATAAGATAATTAAAATATCATTTTATGTTCCACATCTAATAATCGATTTACATTTAGAACATTTTTACAACATGTTTCGGTTTCATCGAACCATCTTCAGGTGTAAAATTATATCAACAAACTTAAAACTCAATTACAATTTCTGTTGTGTAGCTTTTTGGTGATGTTTTCTGGTGATGTTCATATCCAGATTATTTTCACATATTGGAGCGAATGTATTGTTTTGAAGTGAAATGCTTTTGATGTTCTATATCGGCCTGCAAAGCAAATGATTCAAAGAAACACTAATGAATATGAGAGAATATAGAAAACAAAATGAAATAATATCTATCTATTAATAATAATAATATCTATCTTATTAAATTTTCCGAAAATAAATCTTAAAATATTCATAATTTCCAAAGACATATCACCACCACGTTGGGGAAAACATTATGTTGGCAGGCCTGCTTTTAATCACAGAACGATAAGGATAGAAATGTAATACGAGTTTCGTCAAGTTCCCTCTCCAACTACTCTCATCCGACCGAAATTTTCTATGATAACGCGAATGTATAAATACTTATATGACTCAAGTTTTAATTGTAAACTAAAACCTTGGCGATTGATAATTAAAAGGTTCATGTAAACAATTCGGTTAATATATAAACGTTACCATTAATTTCTGGTCAATTTTTATTCATACCCCACTTGCCAAAATCCCTTACGTGCGTGGAAAATTTAAATACACGTTCCACTGCGTCCAGGGCTTGCAATGGACATTATGAGAAGTGATGTGACAAACATGATAATGACGTATCATAATAACTTACGACATTGTAAAGTTACATCTATTGACTGTTTGTTTTAATAAAGTATAAACGCAAGTCTCTGTTCGATACAAAATGTTAAAAATGTAAAACATTTTAATATTTTATAAAATACTAAATTTCAGTGCGTTTGAGATCAGGGTGCTTTGAAAAAAATATTTGGATCTAGGCGTGAATAAATCACGAAAGAACCGAGAAAAATACATAATGACATACTCCACTGTTTGTACCACTCACCAAATATTATCAGTATTATGACGTCGAGGAACATGAGATGGGTGAGACATGTAGAATGTAAGGGGGGGAGACGAAAAATACGTATAGAAATTTGGTTGAAAAGCCTGAAAGAATATCTCGGATCACCTAGGAATAAATAGGAGAATGTTAATAGGGAAATAGATTTTGGGGATGCAGATTGGATTCATCAGGCTCTAGACAGGGTCCTGTGAACACGGTAACAAAACTTCGAGTTCCATAATGCTAAGAAATGTCTTGTATAGTTGGGTTTCTAGAGAAATATTTTACTCCGTCCAGTTAATTGTCTAGCTAGTTACACATTTTCAAAGTATCGTCATAAAACGTCTCATGGTTTCAATACACTTCATAAGCTATTTCAACTTTTAAAGTATTACAACACGACAATTTTTTAAAGAGAAGATCTATTAACTTGTAGTCTTCGATAAATATTATCACTGTCATACAAGGTAGTACGCACAACAGTGACGAGAAATGCAAACAGAATTTTAATGGTAAAACTTGAAGGAAAGAGATAGTTTGAAAACGTAGACACGAATTCGGGGATAATATTAAAATAGATGTTAAAGAAATATGATGTAATACTGTGAACTGGATCGTAATGAAGTTTTTGGTTCCTTAAAAGACAGGGGGTTACTTTACCAACTTAATATTTGCTTCTC